GGTCAGATCTGTGGGTTCAGCCTTTCCTTGGGTGAGTGACTTGGTCAACAGCTTTACTTTCTCTGGTACTTGGTTCCTTTGTGAACTGGGAACCTATTACCAGCCTTAGCAGGGTTGCTGAGGATGGCTCCTCATTTGAAGGAATCCCAGATCCAGTGCCTGCCAGGGACAGGTGGTATGTCCACAATCGGGCATGGTGGGGACTGTGGCATGGGGAGCACCTGTTCTGTCTCTGGGGCAGTGCTGACCAGTTCATTCAAGAATCTCTGAAAGGCTCAGGTTGAAATCTATGTATTAAAGTGAAATCTAAATTTTAAATGCTGGCTATTCATTTTAAAATGAAACAGTGTGGACCAAGCTAGACTAAGTATGGGCAGTATCTAGCTTTCCAATGGCCTGTGCCCTCTGCATCTGTCACATCTCACACACACCTCAGAACCACCTGTCCAGAACTTACTGCTACCCTACTCCTATTTTAGCGAGACCCAGAGAAAGCGACTTGCCCCAGTTGATACAGCCAATAGATGGCAAAAATGGCCTTTGTGCCCATGGCTGGCTGACTCCAAGGCTGGCTCTTCCTACTGCCTAGTGTTGCCTCTTTTTAAGGATCAAAGGGTCAAGGTAAAGGAACTCAGCTGTCAGCTGGTAAGACAGGGGCTTGGGCAGGAGCATGGTAGGGTCCAGAACTGGGTCCAGTGGGGATATGGCAAGGAGGCAGGCTTCTGTCAGTATCAGAACAACCTATGAGCCAGTTATCAATGCTATTTTACCCCCTAGTTTCCTAAAGCTGTATGCCTTTCCCATCCCCACTGCCCCAGCCCCAGCAGCCTCAATTCCCTCTCTAGCTTCTAGCCCTGCCCCAGAGGAGGCTTGCTGAGGCATCCCTGATTTCACCAGCCTCCAGCTCCAAAATCTTAACACGACCCCTCCCCACCCTTCAGCCTCAACTCACACCTTCCCAGGTGTTGCCTTGTGACACAGCTATTCTCTCTGCTTACAACACTCTTCCTGATCCTTCTCCAAGCTAATTTCTACTCTTGTTTTAAGTCAGCTTAGAGGGCAATTCCATTCGTTCCTTCAAGTCTTTACTGACTGCCTCCTATATATGGGCACAGTATAGAACGTGAATAAAATGGCCCTGGTCCCAGCCCATGGAGTTCACACCTGAGGAAGAAATGGGACAATAGGACCGGCGGGCGGGGAGTGGGGGGAGGGTAGTGAGTGAATCATGGGGCATCTGGCTTGGTGGAGAGGGTGAGCATCAGGGAGGGTGTTGCTAAGGAAGTGATATTTGAGTTAGAGAAGAGAAGGAAAAAGGTGAGAGGGTGCTAAAGTGTTCCTGGTAGAGAGCAGCCTGTGCAAAGGCCCTGAGGTAAAGGGGGAACAGCATGTTGGCAAAATGGAACAGCACTTGTGGTTGGATTACTGGGGTGAGGGGGGCTGGTGGTGAGTGGTAAGCCTTGAGAACATAGGGTCTCAGATGGTCCCCACACCAGGATGGGTTCCCTCTATTGTATCCCCCCACCCGAGCTTCCCTCCAACTCCAGTGAAACAATCTAATCACCCTCTCCATGTTCCACAATGAACTCCGAGAACAGGCATAGTCTTCAGTGCTAGATGCAGGAAGGGCACAGAGCCCATGGCAGGTTGGGGAGGTCAGCCTCCTGCCCCCTGACCAAGGGTAAGGCAGGGGCTCTCTGGGATGTGTCAGGCCCTGGAATCCCTGCAAGAGGGAAGCTGAGGCCTCAGGGCCACTCTGTGGAACTACTGGCCCAGGCTGGGGTAGAAGCAGGGTTTGCCATCAAAGCTTACTCCAAGACTCAGGAGCCAGCCTGCACTGTGAGCCTTAGGTCCTTATCTGTGGCCAAACGCTGCCCACTCAGGACCTGGGGAAGGGGGCAGGACACGAGTGTAATACAGGCAGAACAGTGGGGCCTTGATCTGTAAGAAGCAAATACAGGTGCCCAGCTCAGGGAGGTCCTGGGATCTAGCCCATTCATCTAGAACAGTCCAAGGGGGTGTGGCCTAGGCTGACAGGGAAATATCTGTGATCTTGGGCAAAATGCCCTCATCTATAAGATGGGAATAACCAAGCTGATTGCACAGTATGATTGTGAAGCTGCATGTCTACACACAGTAAGTGCCCCACAACATGAACTGTCACCATAATAACAAAGACTGATAATATCCATTCTCTTCTGTCTAATGATGGAAATCCCACTTTTTGCCGGGCACATGGCTGCCCAAAATAAACTGTATTTGCCAGCCTCCCTTGTAGCTCAGTGGGGTCATATGACCGAGTTCTGGCCAATGGGATGGAAGCGGAGGGCTGGGTGGCAGCATTCTCTAAAGGTGGCTGCCATGGGCCTTCCATTCCTTCCTCCCCTCCAACTTCTTGCTGGCTGGAATATGGAAATTTTGGCTGAGCCTCCAGAGCCATGGAGTATGAATGGTAAGTAAGCACATATTGAGAATAGCTGAGCAACAAGATACAGGAACCTGGATCCGCTTATCTGTTCTGGGCTGCGCACCTCTGGACTTTCTTAGGTGAGAAATAAGCTGCCATCATTTTGTGTTTTCTACCACTTGTGGTCAAGGAAACCCTCACTAATATGAGTATCACCACTGGGCTCTCTGGCCATGCCTTACAGTTTGGCTTCTGGATCCAGAAATAAGAAACATGAGTGACAGGAAGAGCCCAAGCTGGAGTCAACAAGGCCTGAGGCTGCTCCTGGCTCAGCTGTCCCACTCTGTGCAGCCTTGAGCAGCTTCTGCCCCTCTCTGAGCTTCAGTTTCCATGGATGTGCAACAAGAACCCCCACATCTGTCACCCCCTGCCTATTCTGCACCCTTTTCCCCAGCTCTGCTCTCAGCCTGACACCCTCCATGATCCTTCCCCAGAGTGAACTTCTGGGGACTGGACCCACATTTGTCTCTTCACAAAGTGTCTCAGCATGGGGCACATTGCCCACATTTAACAAAGGTAGATAGCCTGTCACTCTTAGAGGTGACAGGAAATGACCAGAGTCTCGAGCTGGCTTGATGACCCCACAGGAAACCCGGCCAAGCTATGCTGCATGTGTAGCCTCAGTGGGAAGACTAGGATTTTGAATCAAAGTTTTTGAATCTGAATTTCTAGCTTTGCCACTCAAAAGTCCTGTGTTTTTCTAGCATATCAAGTCATCTCTCAGAGCCTCCATTTTCTCATGCATTAGGGGCATAGATGCTGTGGATCGTCCTCTCAAAAGCCTTTCTCAACTAACCCCCTTCTCTTATGGAGGATGATAGCCAAAATATTGGGTTTGCCCTGAGGCCCAGGTGCTCAGAGGGTACACAATTCCACCACTGAGATAAATCTACATAATCTTGGTTTTTCTTCCGGAGTTAAAAGGCAAAACCTCATTTTAAAAAATCCCATTAGAAACTTATTGGATTTCATTAACCAATGTCTCCAT